TATATATATATATATATATATATATATATATATATATATATATATATATATATATATATATATATATATATATATATATATATATATATATATATATATATATATATATATATATATATATATATATATATATATATATATATATATATATATATATATATATATACTCTCCATATATATACAAATTGTACATTGTAAAAATAAATATCCTGATCAATTATTATAAATAAAAACTTAATAGAATACTATAGTAATATATCTTACTTCACAAAATAATCTGCCCACAATTGTCGATATTCTGGGCGTAATTTAGCATTATTTGTCCAACTGTATTTCGTTTTCATCCAGGGGCTGGCAGTCCATGGTACAGTCAACAACTTGATTTTATTTTGTTTTAATTCTTGAGCTCGTTTTATCAGCGGTATCTTAACAGTTGAGATATTTAATGAAACGTGTACATTTTATATTTTGCAACTATTAATTACATTTACTACATCATTAATTCGGTTAACTTTAGAAGTGTAGGAGAATTTTCTTTTACAAATTTATAAAAAAAAAAAATAGATTGCTGGCCTTGTAAAATAAAAAAGCTAATGAAAAATTAATTATTAAATGAATAAACCTTATAATCATAATCTTCCACTTGCAAATCGAAATCGGAAAGTGAAGTGTCGTTTTCTGTCATCGCGTAGGTATAAGCTCTCGTTGAGAAATCCGTGCAACCCATTGGCGTTCTGATAAAGGTGTAATTGATACCATCCGAGCCGAAGTAGCTTCTACAATTTTAGAAAAAGGTTAAATATGGAATTAAAAATCATCAATACTTTTTAGAATGATTTCATGTATCGATCGTGCAAATTAAATTAACAAAACTCTTTTAGAATTCAAGTACTTCATGATTCATTATACTTTAACAAATTATCGGCCGTCTTTTGTGTCAGATCAAAAATATTTATGGCCGCTGAATCGGTCACTGCTCCTCCAAACCCAAAAATTTCTTGATACGTGTCCGTTTGATTTACAATAATTTTTCCCGGTTGAGGTGGATTTATAAAGCTTTTCTTTATATTTACGCTAATTTTTTTCACTGTGGTGGTAAATATTTTTAATAATCGTAGAAATGCGTTGGATTTTTTTGTTTGGGATTTGTAATCTGTTCACACACATACATAATTTTTTTTAACATCTCAAAAAATTAATTAATTTTTTATAGAGGAAATTAAATACTCACTGCGATCAGAATTAACCTTTTTAAATATGCCGTTCGATACACGAAATCGAAAACCATTTTTACTTGAAGTTATCAAGGTATATTCGGCCACATTGAGCGGCTTGATCGCGTCCGGAACTTCATCGCATTGTTTTGCATTGCAGACGCAGTAATGTCCACCATCCTCACTTGTCGTTGATCGACGTTTAACACAGTCAGTTGATAACGTAACTACATTCATGAAAAAATATAAGTCATTACTTCGTTATTATTATTGCCCTACATATGTATTTCGACGATATGTGTGCTGCACCTTATCTTTTTACATATAAATGAATTTTCAAAATAAAACATAAATATGCGGCTTTAAATATTGTTTCAAAATTGTTAAAACCGAAAATTTCGCTATTAGTTTTACATATTTTATATTTTATATTTTACATTTTAAAATGTGTTCCAAAATGTAAAAATATTTACACTTTTGTGAGAAAACATTTGAAACTTTACAAAATCATGCATATAATAATATAATATAATAATAATATATAACTGTATTTATATTATTTTAATTACAATATGTTTTTATGATATAAAGAATTACTCGGACGTAAAGTATAACAATCTATTATTAAAATGCAATTGAAATACAAAATACAATCTATTATCTACCTGTCACTGAAATAGCAACGAGGATGATCAAGCGCCACATTATGACTGAAGCAGGGAACGGTCGTAGCTTTTATGTAAATTTGTATACACCTGATACGAAACAAAAAACATTAAAGAACCGCTTATATCAGTACCATGTTTGTACAGTAGCTTGTACAATAGCAGATATAAATTTAAGAAACAGAAAACTTTAAAAGAGATTATATGAAAAAGAATAATCAAAAGATCATATATAAAGATTAATTTCTAAATCTTTAAATTGATTTTTTCAAAAATAATATCTCACAAAAATTTCATATTAAAAATTTTGCATGTTTTTTTATTTATTATTACTCGAAAAAATGTCTATTTTTTACATTTTTATTTATTTTAATTAGAAATTATGGATTGACTTATACTTTTAAATTTATTTTCTTTTCTTTTAAACAATTTTCTATGTTATTGTACTATCCTGTATGCATGCCCCATATATGACTAGATTGTGATATTATAGTTCGCTTCTATTTGCATAAGCCTCTTTAATCTTGCACTTTTTCAAAAAAGCACAGTCAACATATTTCTAGATATAAAAATGATAACGGATCAGTTTTTGATATATCTATAATTACATTATTATAATATGTGCTCTAGATTAGTTGAAGCGTTAATTAAAGATTCATATATAAGACTCATCTTTCCATGATAAGATAAGAGATAATTGTACAAAAGTGTTATAAGTATACAGGGTGTCCTAAAAATAACGGACTTCCTCTTAATGGCAGATTCCTTAAAACATTTCGAGACGAAAATCCTAATACAAAAATGTCGATGCTATAATAGTTTTTAAACGGGAATATATTATATTTTACGATTATATTTTACGAATGACAGGGCTGAGATTTCGCGCGTTCAGGCACGGCGAAATACCAAGTGAAAAAATAGTGCTCTATGAATGAAGCGCCTTTTTTCTCATTTATTATTTCGCCGTACCTGAACGCGCGAAATCTCAGCCCTGTCATTCGTAAAATATAATCGCTTCCCGTTTAAAAACTATTATAGCCTCGACATTTTTGTATTAGGATTTCCGTCTTGAAATGTTCTAAGGAATCTGCCATTAAGAGGAAGTCCGTTATTTTTAGGACTGTATAACTGAAAATTTTTATTACTAATATTATGGAGGAAAGAGGAATGTGATCCAAAATAAACAGGGTTAAAAAAAACCATTCAATATTTATATGATAGATAGGACACACCATACTGACAATGAGTAAAAAAAACCTTAGTAAACATAGGTCGAAAGCTCAACGTGTCGCATGCGATGTTTATCTCAATGTTTATAAACCGCGGTCTGAATGTCGTCATTCAATTTCCATACATACTTCATAACAGAAGATTTGACCGACAATCAGTCAGTTGTCATCAACCGGCGATTGCAGATCTTTGTGATTTAGTGTAAGAAGAAGATGCCAAGCGTGTATGGAAATGGAAGGTGGACATGTGGAACAGCTTTTGTAAATATCGAGATAAAGATTTAGACCAATTAATGTAAAGAAAAAAACAAATAATTGTTTAAAAAAATACATCATAAACTTGATGAATTTACGATCAGAAAAGTTGGTCCCATTTGAAAAATTTAAAACAGTAAAATATTTTATTGTTAGGTGAATAAATATTTGTACAGAAAAAAAAACTTGTTAACTTTACCAAATTTAGTCGGTTATCATTTAAGTTAAATACGGCTTTTTGACTTACATATTTTAACTAAAGAAATGATAACTGAATAAACATATTTAATTAAGTAAACAACTTTTTTTCTCAGTGTATGAAATATGCAGATAATTATCTTGGCTAATGAAATATATAAATCTGAACTTTTTAGCTTTACAAATAGCTAAATGAGAGAACCTTTTTATCATTTTAAGAAGAGAAAATTTGAAGTTATACTATTTTATTAGGATAGATTTGTAAAATTTATAATAAAGTTTATTGGTGTGAATTATATTGCATGTGTTCTCTTTCCAACATGCCTGGAAGGTGAAAACGAGGATAAGATTACTTATTTGTATTTATTCATTGTATTGTATCATTCTATTTAGTAATCTTTGATATATCATCAAAGACTAGATTCAACTAGCTTCGTTTTAGTATTTAAAAACATATTATCGTTTTTTTTTTTTTTTTTTGCGGAAATTGTTTATTGTTCTAACTGTCTTCATAATTATCTCTGAAATATTGCAAGAAAAATATATATCACGTACGCTTAGTAGGGAACGTTATAAGATAAATAAAATATACCGTGCATAAAAGATAACGTGCATATGGCGGTATCTAAGCCATTTCTAAAAGAAATGTTTTTGGAAAACAATTTTATCTTATATGATTGAAATTGGCATTAAGTAATCTTTAATTTTTGCTATTTTAAAAGTGTTAACAAGTTGAGAGGAAAAGTTTGAAAAATATAACATTTAAAAAAATGAATGCATTATTATATGAAATGCATTAAAAGTTATTTAAACTTTTGCTTGAAACATTTTTTATATCTCATATCCTTTCAATAGTATTATAAATGTTATTGACCATTTAATTTCATATTATGTGTGTTTTATATTATAAAACCACCATTAGACATATTTCACTAAAATAATGTGAAACAAAATTATAATTTACTTATAATAAATATTTTATCACACACATATATATACACACACATATATTCATATACATATATACACACACATACGCAACATGTATATGTATGTATGTATATATATATATATATATCTTCTTTTTATTTTTATATTTTATACATATTTTTTATAATTACTGCAATGGCGATCAGGATGGAATAACGCATTAAGGCTTGAGCATCTTTTCTTACTGATTAACACACAACAATTACTTTATTTATTAACGATTACTAAATCCTTTTATAGATTGTTTATTTTATACTTTATTTTTACACGAATTAAATTACTACGAGAACTATTTCGCGGGAAATGAATGAATTTGTTAGTTTTTTTTAGCGAAGTAATTAAAATTATATCACAGCGCGGAGCACAATTAATCAAATACTACGAACTGAGTGTGCGAATTCTACGAATTGTAGAAAACTACGCGAAGTCACGACTTTTATATTATTGAGAAATGATTAGCGTAATCGATTATTTATGTTTTATATCGATATTGAACAGACAATGAAAATATGTGAAATATCTTCCACATATTGCTTATTTTTTTTTGTCTTTTTCATGATTATACGCTATATGATATCAATAAAAATAGTAACTGCAAAACTATAATTTCTTAAGAGAATTATTTGTGAAATTGGTTTTCAAAAAGTTTCTTGTTTTTTATTACAATAAAAACAAGATATTAAATAAATAGCAATTACTTTGATTAAAATTACACTTTGTTTTTAGGAATTTAATAAAATCATCGGAGAAAAAATTATTTTAATTAAAGTTGCTAAAAATGTGGTTACGATATTTTTTCAGAAATGTCGTAGAGATGTGTACGTTGTGCAGAATTTTGCATTAAATAATAACAATGTTAATAGATAATAATGCTCTATTATTCATTTTCCAACTGCTTTTAAAATTAAAATTGCTAATATTGCCGGTCCAGTGATTAATATGGCGATAAAAGTGGACTTGATGCATTTATTAAATTATACGAAATCGTAATGAGAAACATAATTAGACGTAAAATATCGAATATTTCATATTACTTTATTCAACAAACTAAATATAATTCAAGAAAGAAGTAAAAAAAATTTTTTCATGATTATACGCTCTTTTCTTGTTTTCTTATGCTTTACCAAACATGTTTGGTAATTATTCTACAAATGCATGCAACTAGTTTAAAGCTAGTTGAGCATGTTAGCGCAAGTGAACTAGATTCCATTAATTGCCGCACGCGCATATTCGGTCTCGTTTCAAGATTAAATTGAGTTTCTTTTGTAAACGGGGAACGGGGTCGCGCGACCAGCGAGGCATGCTCTCTGCCGTAAGGTAATCATTGGACCAAATATTCATTTAGCTTCGGAACACGTCTGTAAGAGCTCCCATATCCTTAAATAATGCATCTCGATATATCCTGCGTTGTGTCGCGCGGCCGTTGTGATAAATTCATCAAATCGGGTGCTGCTTCTTTCAATAAAGACTTTTACGAACAAGTAGTGCGTATCGCAGCTCGAACTATACATGGACATTAGAGGGAGGGATTAATAGGGAGAAATGTATAAAAAGAAATATATCAATATAAGCACAATATATATATTATAAGAGATAAAATAACTCTTTGATTATTTGGCAAAGCTTTATCAAATATTACACAATACTTGCTGATTACATTTTTTGCACATTATGCATAATAAAAGTGTTGAGCTACTAATAAAACCATTTGATTGTATATTTTCGTTACGTTTGTTTAAATAAATCGAGTTAATGCGCTAATTCTGTTCTTGTCGCAGCGGTTATTATTTATATTAAAACTAATTTTCAGTATTATAATATCAAGTATATCATGTCAATATTGACGATATTTGATCATACTCATTTATATTGTTTAATTATGCGAATTAAAAAGTATATATGATCTCTGCCAATGTCAACTGGGCAAATTAAAGTTGAAGTAATCAATGAAATTTGGCAAGAACGGATATACACATACATACGCACTGCATTTGAAACTTATTCAAAAAGTTGCTTTCGAAGCGCGTGCACTTCTCGAAGTCCGTTTTAACACTAAACTTTGCACAAATACAAACAGGATATATTTATCAACTATGTCAAGTAGGTTATATGGCATGTACGAGAAACTGCGCTTAGTTGTAGGTTACAGTTTTGCAGTTAGGCACGCTTGAACGTCAACTGATTTTTGAAATATACGTGTAAATTTCGCTGAAATATACTTTGATGCGAATAATGTTTAAACTCTTTATATATACATATGACAGCTAACGATCGCAAACTAGATATCTCTTTTTGGTTTACCTAGTTGCAAAATATTGTGCTAACAATAAATGAAAAGATTGACAAATAAGAGTTGAAACGCGGTAATTGGAGAGCAAACTTTCTTATCAGATTACAGTAATATTTCCA